AATAAGTTTTTAATACGCCACAAAGTTTAAATAATAATAGTTAGGATAAGTTTTCGTGTATGATTTTCAAACAATCTTAGTACAACTACTTTCAAATTTGAAATATTTAGGCGTTTTGAAATCGCATCATTTTTTTGAGAGAAATCCTAATCAAAACCTTGTTTCTTAGTTCATTGGAGCATTTTTAAGAAGAAAAGCTTTAACAAAAAAAGCAGGAATAAGGCTGACAAACTTTCACAAACATCCTACGGTTACTCAACTCTTGTACGATTGCCTGTCAATAATCTAGCCGAATGAATTTACTTTATAGTCATAAACCAGTTTAGAACAAACCTCTAATCATAGAAAAACAAACTGTATCACTAAAAGAATCAATGCCCTAATTGAATATCGTTTGTTTCGTTTTATTGAATCACTTTCTCTCTACCACTCTTCTTTTCATACGTGTCTGTTAATAATAGAAGAAAACATCAACCATGTTACCCAATAATACTTCTTTTTTTTCATGTGTTAGTTGCTTTTATATTTTTTATTTTATCATTCACTCTTGTTATTTGTGCAATAGCATATAGGTAGTTAGTCTAATCATATTTATCATTTATAACAATAAAAAAAATTGATAGAAATTATTCATAGTATTATTATTTGTCATTGATAAGTATGAAATTGATAGAGTAATGAGTAAAATCAGATTAACATCAATCTGCATACACAAATACTCATAGTTTTAAATAAATAAAAAAAACAATAAACTTAATTGAAATTCGTTTCAAAAATTGTACATATTATGTACTGTTACTAGGATCGATTGTATATTGAGATTTATATGCTTTTATTATTATTTGTCTCTTGATGAATTCATTCCATTCTAGTGGAATCAACCTCGTCACTTGTGATTCTATTATATTCTGCTAATGATGAATGATCATTTCAGAATATTCTGAAGTGGTCGATACTAAAAAAATGTAGTTATTGTGTATCAGTCCTGGTCTTATCACAGAATCTAAAAAGTTCGGTTTATGTAAGATTTTAGGAGTATGAAGTAGGAAGTATGAAGTATGTATCGATATTTATCACTCTCTAGTTTTCAATTTTTTTCTAGCTGAACTCAGTAAAGTCATTTTACTTATACATCGAAGTTACTGGTAAGACAGAAGTGTCCAGATAAGCTAAATACAATAGCAGAAACACATGTATAATACAAAACGAAAGCTTAAGCACATCTTTTTCGAGATTACTTAAGCATAATGCAAATATAAACATAATATTAAAAACATTTTAGGTCTTCTATTCTTTCTATTTTTTTTATACTTCACATAAATCGAACAATTATCGACTAAATTATGTTCTCAAAACATTCACATGTATATTCCCTTCATATATGTAGTTTTCCTAATATTATTATGTCAATGAATTGAGAACTCTTCTGTTGTTCACTACTATGTAATGGATAGAATGGTTTTCATTCTTCAGTGTCGTTATTTTTCAAAGGAACTCAACACTGAAAAAATTTTAGGCGGTTACAATAATTAAATCGAGTATGAACTGACCCACCTGCTTCTAGATTTGCAAGATTATGAGCCAGTTCATCGTTTGACAATACACAAATAGAAAGAAGCAGTAATCCTGAACATCTATCTTCCATCGATGACACGGAGTACAACAAGAGCTATATTTATTTTCAGGTTAATTTCATCTTCAACAAACCAAAAAATCCATCTTCTTATAATTAATGTTCATTTTGACCATAAGAAAACAGTTAATTAAATCTTCCAAGAGTGTTACAATAAACAGCGTTTTTATGGTTGTTATTTTTTCATTTCTTTTCCCCTATATAGGTTTTATTGTTTCCTACTCATATTCGTGATTTCAATAATTAAGCATTTTACTAAAACTAGCTAATTCTTTATAAAGCGGAATGACCTAAAATCTGTGTATATTGTAGAAAATTGTAATTTACCCTTTTATAATCCGGAAACTTATCAGAACTATCAAGAAAAAAAAAACAGGTAATATTAATAATACTAGCAATAATTAAATTGAGGCCAACAAAAAATTCATTACTTTCAAGATGTTGCCTCGATAAGGAGATATATAAGTGAAATTTTAGGTAGGATTCATAGATTAGCTAAGAATGATAAGATAATCAAACATAATACAAATATAAATTATCTGGGGTACGGGATCCTACTTAATTAATTAAACAAAATAAAATATACGATTGGATGTCATTTAAAGTTAGGAGTTGTTGCATTTTAACTAAACAATAACAACCCTATATAGTCATTCAAACTCAAGAATGCAATGCCCAAATATACTACGTCATTTATTATGCGATTAATTTACCATGCAAATACTAAATCAACTCAACTATTTCTGTAAAACTTCTCAAAATATCGGTGTTTTCGGTGTTATATTACATCAGACATTAGTAAACTGCATAACATTGATAGTTGATAAAGTCGACTAAATGCTTCATCCTAACAAATGTAACTTAAAATGTTTTTACTCGTTTATACCTCCATACATACAACAGAATTTCGCAACAATGCTGTATGTATATTCCTTAAAATTCCTTATTATCGAGTTGGAACATTTACATGCTATTCTCAGAATATAAAACAGATGATGCAAACCAACAGAAAGTATTTCAGAAAAAAAATTAATAATTAAAACCATTATTAATAAGAAGTCCAATTCCTTTACGCTTGATTTGCTAAAACCTTAATCTCTCTCTCTAACTCCCCAGAAACTTAGATTTCTTTCCATCTTACCCTCAGTAGAAGATTCCATACAGTTTTGTTTAATTTGGATAGAATTACAAAAACAACCACGAGTTTATATTATTCGATATGTTTTTTATTTAAGTGCGAAAAATAATTTGTTTTGTGTAATTACCATTAATACATCACAAAAAGGATTAACGAAAAATAAAAAAACGATTGACATTTGCAGAACCATCAATGCATAAGTGTACCGAAGGTATTAAATTCAATAGAAAAATAATAATGTGAACATTTATTCAAATGATAAATACATAGACTTCTGACCCAATTCCTTTTTTGGAATTAAATTAAGAAATTCGTTTTTTAATGATTGTGCAACATTTAAGATCTATTTCAGTTTTACCTAATTATGTCAAACTGATTAATTGAAGATAGAAATGACAAAACGATATTGTTGAATGTTTGTTTTTTGAATAATAATGAAATAGTCATTTAGAAAAAGATGAAATGACCAAGTGTTTAATTTAACTTATGAAAACAAGATAAAAAAATAATAATAATTACTTTCAATTATGTGATTATGGAAGAGATGTGCTATTTGTTGACGCATAATGACCTCATTCTTTTACAAAAAGAGATAATAATAGTAATGGAAATGATACATGTAACAGATCACATGTCAAAATCTGTACAGAAAATTAACTTCATACATTATCACATTATTTTAGTAATATTAAAATCCATATAGTATGGGTAATTACAATCTAATTTCTGTAGTTTCTGGTTGCCGACTTAAGCAGCTTGTACAGACTTCACTGCTCTGTAAAAGGTTTCTAATAATCATTGTGATTAAGTTGTTAGCTGATGGATTCAATTGACATTGTGGTCTATGCGACCAGTCATTTTTCATGTATGAGATGATTTTTATTCAAAAGACGGTTTTATGGTCACATTTCTTCATGAATGAAATGTAATTAAGAGGTAATATAATAGGTTAGGTTACGCCTGTTACCCCTGATGGAGCATAGGCCGCCAACCAGTGTTCTCCAACCTACTCTATCCTGAGCTTCCCTTTCCAGTTCTGTCCAATTATTGTTTATTCTTCTCATATCTTTCCCCATTTTTCGGCGTAATGTGTTTATTGTCCTTCCTCTTTTCCTCTGACCTTCAGGGTTCCATGTGAGGGATTGTCTCGTGACGCAGTTAGGTGCTTTTCGTAGTGTGTCCTATCCACTTCCACCGCTTTTTTCTGATTTCCTCCTCCATTGGAATCTGGTTTGTTCTCTCCCACAATACGTTGTTGCCGATGGTGTCTGGCCAACGAATCCGAAGTATTTTGCGAAGACAACTGTTCATAAATACTTGTATCTTCTGGATGATGGCTTTTGTAGTTCTCCAAGTTTCCGCTCCATACAGTAGAACTGTCTTGACATTTATATTGAAAATCCTGATTTCGGTGTTGATTGATATTTGCTTTGAAGTCCCATATGTTTTTCAGCTGTAGAAATGCAGCACTTACTAAGAGGTATATATCAGTAGACAATAATTTAGCTTATGGTATGCGGTTGACCTTCAAATGATAAAAATCGTTGTGTTCTTTTTCCTAAACAATCTACCAATAACTAAGGTGTATTATAACCAATATGCGGGCAGATTCGATCTACCTTGGACTTCATTCAAGTTGTCTTCGATCCATGTTGCTCTTCAAATACGGCTCTTTATGAGATTATTTTGAAATATATTTTAATCTAAGATTGAGTTTGAAACTGGTCGAATAGGGTCGTTAACGATTCATATTGCAGCGATGAGTTTTATTACAATTCATCATCTCTGAAACTAATGATGGATAAGATATCAGTACTCCTATTCAATAAACAACAGTAGCTTAGTCATAGAATTAGTATTATAACATTTTTAAAAGTTCCTGATTATACAATCGTTAAGATGTTCTGAAATAAATGTAATATATTATACTCTTTCATTTTGTATCTGTTATAACATAGGTAGATAGTTTAAGATATAAGATTTGAAATGAAGATAATGAATCACTAACCAACTGTAACAGGGTGGCATCTTTAACCATTTGGACAATGAATATTACTCACATCCCCTCGTAAATAAACCTCTATTAATTATTGTGATACATTTACTTAGTGATGTAATTAGTCAATAATTTCTCTAGAAAAGTTTTTGATTAATTCTTGTACCTTTCAGTTTACCGTCATTTAATAATACTGACTGTTCTATCTGTTTCTTTTGCAGGGTGATTTAGTCATGGAATATCTAGGTGAGGTGATAGATATTGCAGAAGCTAACCGTCGGATTATTGATGCACTTGGTTCTGATGCATTGTCTAGCATAACTTCATCGCATGACAGTTTCCATCCACTTTCGATAACCTATTTAACACGATTCAGTCCACAGTTGAATTTAGTTCTAGATGCTGGAACTAAAGGCAATTTAAACAGATTTATTAACCATTCATGTGCACCAAATTTAGTTACTGAATGTTGGATAGTTGACGGTTATCCACGACTCGGTAAGTTTATGTTCTGTTTGTTGATTATTTTCCAGTTTGTCAAATAAACATTTTTAAAACATTTCATTTTGTTTTTGATAGGACTGTTTGCCTGTCGACCTATAGAAGCCAATGAAGAACTAACAATTAATTATATTAATGCTCAAATTCTTTCAACGGGTCTTATGGGTGCCAGTTGTTTATGTGGAGCTGATTCCTGTGTACGAAAAATACGTTTACCAACAGCATTTAAATTATATGAAGGAATAGTAAATGAAGTTAAAAGTCATCTCACAAATGATATTCAATTTTAACTTCTGATGTTTCATATGGTCGGTCGATGCATATACAGGATGTTGTCTGTTAGATTAATTAGTTGTTGACTGTAAAAGTTGTCGTTTGAATAAACTTTAGTAATCATTGAACTATTTGCCAGATTTTTATTAGGTGAAAATGTATTTATTTTGTTCATTAAACTGTAATTATCTGAAGAGGAGAATTTGTTTGTTGTTCCAGTTGACAATTCCCAGGCTACTGGTCAAATAAATAAATAAAAGTTCCATTGTTTCAAATTTCTGACAATGATTTTCTAGAGCCAAACACACATATCAAGTGTGATTTCTCTATAAACTGAAACAAGTGAATAGTTAAATGAACAAAGGTTTCAAAATTGCGTTTTGAAATACAAAAAGAAGCTCGATTCTCAGCAACTTCAATTGATATTAGTTAATGAAGTAAATTCTCTTCAAAATGTACTTGAAGAGTTAAAATGATTCCGTGGTATAAAGGTTTACTTGAACATATATGTATATATATGATGGTGATGAAATAGAACCAATCCAATAATAACCGACGGATTAGAAAATATGAAGAAACAATGAAAATAATACAGGATCCTCTAAATAGTTGTGTAAATAATCAGTGAGTTGAATAGCTGGATTATAAATATTTAAAACCTATAGTTAATGATAAGATGGAAGTAACTGGTGTGTGTATTTATTTCTATTCTGGTCATAATTTTTCTGTGAGTGTAATCAGGATAATTTGGGCATAGTTTTCATTAAGGGTTGACGATCTATTGAAATCTTTGCGAGCACTGACCTACTAATTTGTCCTTACGATGCCACATTCATGATTCTGTATTAGTCTAAAAACAGAACTAGTAAATTTGGTAGTGAAAATGTTAAGAGCTGATATTCAGAGAGAACTTCCGGTGGATTATTTTATGAGTCTTCACGCAACAGATGCCCTAATCTACCTCATACTACAATGAACCAAAGCACAACATTTTATAACATTAGCCAAACCAATCAATCCCCATGTTTTACAAGGGTATGGATAACTTTCTTTTAAACTACAACAGTTGGACTACCGGTGACATATCAAGATGTTCCTTCATTTCTAGTGCAAAGAGAAATAGTTCCCGTCAGAAACAGTCGATAGTCGCCACGTTATGTCTGAAATTGATTGAAGCTCAAATTGTGCCATTGGATGCCGACCCTATGTTCACCATGAGACCTAGAAGTCTTGGGTCCGATGAAGTGTATGTGTATGGATGAGGGGTCTATACTAGATCAGAACAGCCGTCCAGTGCTCCCCAGTTTCTGACAGTACCTCAACTGAGATCTATATTTGAAGGATACGATCCACAAACTCCTACAATTATTAACTGACCTGATGATTTCTTTTTACTGGTATACATGTTTTATTAAGATTGTGGATAATTTCACTCTTGTAAATCCACAAGAGAACTAAATGATGTTACACTTCACTGTGAAGTTACTTATCGTGGGTTAATTATGTCTAAGAATTTCGGAGAACATGCAAATGAAGTATAGACACATATTACTTCTTGATAATGCTATTACAGATCTTCCATGTGATATCTGTGATTATTATTATTATTAAACTCAATATGGATATTCAGAATCATACTATGTTGACTGGAAATATTTACATAAACTTTTGTGTAAATTTCACTGTTTTTATTCTTGAGTTATGACACTGAGCATTGAATAAACAAGTGTCAATCATACAGAGAGTAAGGTGTTTTCTTCATATCACTTTCCATCGAATAGCACATCATAAACAGCAACAAAATGGTTATAACCGGAACGTATATTTAACCGAACATGATGTAAATAAGTGTCGTCAAGTGGTAGTTCTGTTACTTGTAACTGTCCACCTGAATGAGGCAAAGTTTTTTCATACTTCAATTCAAAGTTTTCTGGTTCCGTATGTGGACTGGTTTCAATCTGTTTGATAGGAAGAGAAGAAAAACGTCAAACATGAATCATAAGAAATGAATTAGAAATTGGTCGCATTACGTTGACAAATATATTAGACGAATAAATGGTTACAACTTTATCACCAAACATCTCCAATTTGATTATAATATATAACATGGTCAGTCAGTCAGTTAGATGTAAGGTAGAACTTCGTACGTAAGTACATCAGTTCATGTTGCCATACTACATCAGCACAGAGATATAATTGTCCAATAGTAGTAGAGGTAGTAAGGGAATTAGAAGTAATCGGAGAGGTTAGGATTAGAAGATACTATTCAAGAAGTATGATTAAATGAGAAACTAGAGGGGTTGAAGAATCCAGAAGATTAGTGTTTGAGAGAACGCAAAGAATAAATGCACCGGCGCCATTGCGAACGATTTTGAGCCATGTCATTCAAGGTCTCTAACCATCGATTATTATCATCTCGCGGACCCCAACCAGGTAGTCGACAATTACCGACATGGCTCAGTCCACTCGTCAATGACTTCATGGATTTCTGCCATGTTTTGGTCTGCCCGCCCCTAGCTTTCTTCCAACCTATTCCTACACTACAAAACAAAGCTCGTCGCGGCAGTCGGTGGTTTGGCATACTCAGCACATGTCCCAACCACCTCAACTGATGGAGTTTCAATACTTCATCGATCGATCTGCCATCCTTACCTAGTACTCGTTTCCTAACGACAGTATTGCTTACTCGGCTATCCCACGATATACGAGCAATGCTTCGGAGACATCGATGATCGAAGACTAGTAACCTACGAACATCTTCTACTCTTAACGGCCATGTTTCGCAGCCATATGGGAGAACGGAGCGAACTGCTGCACAGTACACTCGTCCTTTAGTCAACAAACGGATATCACGCCTACGCCATAAGTGACGCAGGTTGGCAAAAGCCAACCGAGCCTTCTGTATTCGAGCTGAGATTTCGTCAGTCACCAGGCCATCAGCACTGATGAGACTCCCAAGATAAGTGAAGCGGTCTACACGCTCGACTACTTCACTCCCTATCACTAGTTCAGGTGCCGATGCAACCCAGTCTTGAAGCAACATTTTGCATTTCGAAGGGGAAAACCGCATCCCGAACATGCGTGCATTGTTACTTAGGGTAGTCAGAAGACGCTGCATTTTGTCAGCATCTTCACCAAGTAGGACTATGTCATCGGCATATTCTAAGTCAATAAGCATATATAACATGGGATAAGAAAATAATAACTCATTGACTTACAGATGGTCACTCGTCATTATAGATTTAAAAGTATTAAATGGCAGGCGGATACAAGTACGTGAATTATTTGCTAAACATAATTTAGTCCGAATACTAATGCCACAGGGAGATTTATCTGGTGAAAAATTTCTGGGAATATTCTGGGATATTTACTCTCAGTACACATTACACCGAGGGATAGAGACAGATATAGGAAGGATGAACAACAATTGGACAGAACTAGGAAGGAAGTCCCAGGACAGAGTAGGATATAGAATGCTGGTTGGCAGCCTATGCTCCACTGGGCTAACAGGAGTATGTAAGTACCATTACTCAAGCATCTTTTGATACCGGAGACCTGTAACATATTAGTGAATAATATCAACCGAAAGAAATTCTTCTTAGCCGAACTCCTTTTATCTTCTGCAATCGCAGAATATGTTAGCCTTTTGTACTCGAAAATATTATTCCTGGAAATGATACATTAGAGAGAATTCCATCTAACGCTTTTGAGGTGGCTTAATACATAAATTAGTGATCGCCAATCCGTAACGGAAGGAACTGAGAGTTCGATAAAAGAGAGAAATAATGATTATGTAGACAATTTAATGAAGAGGTGAAATATATCAGGTATTTATCTATGTGATACGAAAGACCTTCTACTAAACACCTATATGTGAATCTGTAGGTTGACGTTTTATACGACTAATTTTTGACTGATCGGTTAAAATTTCAAAAAGACTTCTGGGCAACTTTGATATGAACTATCAAACAATCTTTTACAGCTTAAGTCACTAACTTCGTAACTGAGTTTCGTGGATACTGGTTCAGAAGACCGAAGCGAAATTCGGGCTGTTTAACCATTCATACGCAAGTACGACAGGAATTCAAAACTAGTCAGAAGTTTATCAATTATTATTTCATTGACAATTGAGAAGCTCAACTGATCTATGACTTTTAAGTATTTCAAATATATTCGTTTTTTGATACTCTTCACTTGACAGTTACTGTTTCAAAAATGCACTCGTTTTTACGTGGATGTCTCAGTCATTCTTACCTAAGGTATATGGCAGCTAACAGTAAACCTGAGCAACCGACGACAGTACCTGTGAACGTTCATCATTGCCGATAGCCTCACAGTCGTACTCTGTATTGATTTCTTACGGCACTTTGAATGTCTTGTCGACTGACGTAGGCTGCCGCTAATCGATATTTCGTCGGACAGTAAATTAAGCTCAGACACATGCGTACGGAATCTCAGGGTTTTTCCTTCTCGGGAAGATATGTACCGCTCTTAATTCGAGAAATTCGCATAACTAACTAAACCTCCCGCGGAGATCCCGTGAGTGACTAATCGCGTTAGACACCATATCGTCATCCACGGATCACCAGTCACGGCAAAACTTTGCCGACTGGCACCACACAAATTAGCCTTCACCGAACATGAGTTCGATGATTTACTAGTTACATGCACTATTTGTCCTTCTCACAGTCCCTGGGCCTCTCCTCTCCACATCGTTAGCAAGAAGGATGGTGTTAGTTGGCAACCATGAGACGACTACCGAGCATTAAATGTAGCTATACACTTTGACAGCTACCCCATCTCCCATAAACACGACATCAAGGCACGATTCAAGGGCACGTCTATCTTTTCTAAGATCGGTCTGGTACGAGCCTACCATGAGATCCCATTCGCTCTTGGAGATATCTGGAAATCCACTATAACGACGTTTTTGGTCGGTTTGAGTTCCTACGTATACCATTTGGGTTACGGAATACTACTCAAACTTTCCAAACGTTTATCGATAGCATAGTACGAGACTTTGCTTCTGTTCACGTCTATATTGATGACCTGCTAATCGCATAATCAAACGTAGGTGAACATTATCAGCATCTAACAATCCTATTCCAGCGCCTTTCGGATAATGGAATAATAGTCAGCCCAGACAACTAACAACTCGGCAAACCGGAAAAAATAAAATTCTCATTGAGCAAGAGGTTATTTTAACTTGTGAGGACAAAGTACGTGCAATAACGTAATACACTTTACCGTCCACACTCAAGGAACTTAAGGCATTTCTCGCCTTGGTTAACTTCTAACGACGTTTCATCCCACATACGGCAGAAAGGTTACGACCATTAACCGACTTACTTCGCGGTACTCCACGTAAGTTAGAATTAAACGATGCCGCGCGTACTGCAATTTCACAAGTCGAAACAGCTTTGGATTAAGCCGCACTCCTTGCTCATCCTGATTCATCAGCCACGCTTAGTATAGCGGTTGATGCATCAGATTTCGCTATAGAGCCGTAATGGGACAGAACATCTCTAGAAGTTGATAACCTCTTGAATTTTCCCCACGATGCCTCACTCCCATGGAGTCGAGGTGTAGCGCTTTTGGTCGAGAACTGCTAGCAGCCTACTGTAACATCAAACATTCCCGGCCCGCAGTAGAAGGTTGCGATTTCATCCTATTCACCGACCATTAAAACCGCTAATATATGCTCTTTATATCAAGTGTGACCACAAGAGTGAGGACATTTAGACCATATCTCTCAGTTCACGAAAGACCTTCAACATATTGGGATGGTGGATAAAATTTGCAGCTCAGGTGTGTGGCACACAAACCAAAAGGATCAGTTCAATCAATCCTGTATAGACCAAATTACAAAATTACAACGGAAAAAAACAAATATCACCTACAAAATAAGTTGCTCAGACCTTGAAAAACACTACATAAGAGAAAGTGAACGACCTCTTCAGCGTTTTCTTGTCCGGGCACCTACAAACGCAATCTTCATACTCTGGACACGAGCCACTCTAGTGTAGCACTCACACTCGAGCAGCGAACCTAGCACGTTGCTCCTCGTACCGTTGTACGTACAAGACGTTCGACGACAACTCGAGGATCTACGGTCGCTGCCTGTTTGCCAACCCTCCCGCTCGCCGATAATTCCCACGAAACGAAACCGCCGTATATCAAAGGTGCGAACCTTTTCTGGCGGAGGGCAACTGTAGTGATCTACTTTTATGTGCAATAGAAACATTTAGTATTACAACCAATTCTGCAAGCGATTGTTTTACTGTACCTATCTGTTCATTTGTACAAGCACTCCTATTTTCGCGTCGTTCGTGAACTTGACCCGGTGCACGTACGCACGGTAGTATCGCCTGTGCACGTTGGCATGGTCTCGGTATCTTACTGATACAGCGAGATCGCCATCAAATAAATACTGATCAAAATTTCCAACTTTCCTTCTAAATTCTGTTCTACAGAAGAAAATAACCGGCTAACTGGTACGTGATTCGCTTGTAGTAGAGACCATAGTCAAGTGTGAGTCACGCTATTACAAAGAGAAAACTCACCTCGGTGTACTCAGTGTTGTCTTTCATTTACTCTCGACCGTGATAATTTGTTCTCAACAATTCTTATTCCACTGACAAACTAGATAAATATGCCATTTCAATACTTATTAGGCTCAGATTCTGCAGACGCACTTCCTATCAGGCAATGGCACGATGAAAAATAAATGGTCTTATCAACGAATATCCTTCAGTTTGAAAAGGAGAAATATATGATTTAATAGTGTCACAAATCAACATTGTTAAGGTATGTGTTAAGTAGTGTGTGAAAGACTAATTGAATTATATGTCGAGACAAGAGTAAATACAAAACAATGCAATAAAAACAAGCATAAATATGGTGATAAGACGAAAGAAATATACAAAATATATTTCAGTATCGGACCCCAACACTTTTG